TCCTGGTTTAACTTATGGTGTTGAACTTACCAGGCCAATCGAAGTAATTTTCGTCTTTCGTACACATTAAGGCCTATGAATTTTCAAACTCTGGTGTCTCGCATATCGGCATTAGTGATCATTCACTTATTTACGCCATTAGCAAATTATGCATTCCAACACGCCCCTCAAAGGTTATTTTTAGCAGACAATTCAAAAATTTCGAGCCCACTTGTTTTAAGCGGGATTTACGCATGGTTCCATGGCATACTGTAACTTGCCTCAATGATCCAAATTTTGCTTGGACTGTTTGGAGTTTTCTATGTCTCAAATATTCATGCACCTTATCGAAAAAAGAAAGTGAAAAGTGCTCCTGCGCCATGGCTGAATCCTGGCCTAAGGAAATTGATGTTCGAAAGAGACAAGCTCAAAAAAATTGCCTGCAGACTGAGAACAGATGAAAGCTGGCCAAAGAATAATTCTGTTAAAAACCAAGTGAACGAAGGGATAAGACTGGCTAAATCATTTTATTATAATACAAATTTCGCAGCTTACTGTGGAAATGTTATTATGGGCAAAACACCACAATTAACTAGAATTAACGCTTTCAAAAATTGGGGACGCCTCTTAAACTTCCCTTCGAGAAGTAAGTGATGTTTTCTCTAAGGTCGGACCATCACTTGCCAGCGAAATTCCTCCATCCAATATTGACTCTGGCGATTATGTTCATCCCGTCTCACAGAACTTGACTTTGACATAAACGACCAACGATACCGTCATATATAAAACTAATTAACTCACTTCCGTTAAATAAGGCTAGTGGTCTTGATGGCATATCCTGTCGTCTACTAATAAAAGAAGCAGCACCTATTGTCGCGCCGTCCTTAACCCATGTAATAAACTTGTCTATCACTACTGGTATCTTCCCAGACGAGTAGAAACTGGCAAGAGTATCGCCCGTATACAAGAAAGGGGAGAAAAGTGACCCCAACAGGCCAATCTCGGTTTTGCCTCTCTGATTAGCAAATTGATAAAAAGAATAGTTTTCGACCAGTTCTACGAGTATCTAATGGAGCACGATCTCTTAGCTGAAGCTCAGTCTGGTTTTAGACCCCTGCACTTCACTCACACTGCTCTTCTGGAAGCTACTAATTGGTGGTACTTAAACATAGATAGCGGTCTCGTAGATGGGGTACCTTTTCTCGACCTCATAAAAGTTTCCGACACTGTGGATCACCAGATTCTGTTGCAGAAACTTCACCTTTATGGAGCGGATTTCTATACTTTGAAATGGTTTAGGTCATATCTAACTAATCGAAAACAGAAAACCTTTGTAAATGGCTACATGCCAGACTATTGCTCCATTATTTGCGGTGTCCCGCTGGGATCGATCCTGGGACCTTTATTGTTCTTAGCCTATATAAACGACCTCTCTGCGTGCCCCCTATTCTCTGTGCCAAGAGTGTATGCCGATGACACAGGTCTTACCATATGCTCTAGTGATCCAGTAGACTTAAAATCCAAATTAAATAGTGGCTTAGCTGAAATCCAGACCTGGCTACAAGCTAATAAACTTAGTCATAATACTAAAAAAACAAAACAAAAAACAATCAAACAAAAAAACAAGTATTCTATTATTGGTAGCCATAACAAATTGCTCAACTTAAACTACTATTTTGATGTTAAAATTGATGAAAATTCCTAAGCTAAATCCTACTAGTATCTCGGCATTGATTTGGATGAGAGCTTCTCGTGGGACTCCAACATTGACAGTTGTCAAATCAACGGAAACTATGAAGAAGTCGTGGATACATTGCTTACAAAATGAAGA